GTTATTAACACAATAATAGAGACTACTTTCTGAAAGCTGGTTAGTATCAGCTACTTCACATCTGACCAATCTCTCTTTTCTTCACCTGTCACTTGGGGGATAACTGGGCCTGCTAGAAGGTTCTCATCATGTCTCCCTAGGATCGCTGAGGAGCCAGCCTGTCATCACGTTGGAATCCAGCCACCAGCTCATGTCATCACTCCCTGGCCTTTCAGCCTTCTCTGTCAGAACCTTCTCCTTGACTCCAGTGTCCCCAGCTGCACAGCCCTCCCCACCACCGAAATACCTGATCTTTCTTGCTGCTGGGAGGGGCTGAGACTACGGTCTACCCCACACAATGAAGGAGGGCTCCCCAAAACACCGTTACCAAATTCTACCAGCTTCCTGAATCTTGCTTTTCTCATTGGTAAATGGCAACACATAATTTCCACCTCACGGAACCATGAGGAAAAGTAACTAAGACAATATGCCAGAAAACTGTCACCAGCAAATGGTGATCCCTTTCCCAAGGTCCCCAGAGAATGAAGGCTGACCCCAGGACTCAAGTCTTGGACTCCCTGAGCAGTGTTCTCTCCTACGAAGCCCGACTCTACCTTAGGACTGTCTTTGCACCCATTTCAGGGTCCAGTGTGGTGACATGTGGGGGTGGAAGGTCAGGGACAGTTGTGAGGTGTGTCCCAAGACCCCTACTGTAGGTCATCCTGGCTAAAGCCCTGGCTGTCCAGGAGGTCAGTAGCCAGAGGGTGCTTCCTGTGCTTTAAGGGCTGTCGCCTGCAATCAGGGTGAATTCCAAACCCCTCCCATTGCCTGGGCAAGGCCTTGCCAGATCTGCAGGCCAAACCCTAGGCCTCACCCCTGCACTCACCCCGTGCTCTGTGCAGCAGCTACACAGTGCTCCTCTCTGGTCCTGAAGCCTGCTGCTCACTCCCACCTCAGGGCCTCGGCATCAACTCTTCTTTCCGCCCAGAGCTCTCCTCATCAGCTTCTAGGGAGACCTCAACTCCCACCCCCAAGAGGCTCTCCCAGAGGCCTTGGCTTATGTCTCTCCCACCCCACAAACACCTGGTCTCTCCTTCTCCATTTATTTCCCCCAACGCGCTCACCAGATCTGAAATGATCCTGTGAATTCACTGTCAGTCTCCCCTAGGTCTGCTGGAGACCCCCGAGTGCCCAGTGCTTGGCAGAGAGTAAACACTCAATAAACACTACCGAATAAATACCGAAAGAGTAAAATAGATGTTATTATGTATACCTTGCAGAAGAAGAAACTGGGGCAGAGTAGGTGAGAAGTTCGCCCCAGGCCACATGCTTATTAAGTGACAGATTTAAACCCACGCCTGCTGATGGAATCCATGCTCTATACCCCACAGCTCGGGGCTCCCCAGAGGCTCAGGCTGCCATGGGAACCTTGGCTGCCTTGTGGGATAGAAGAGGAGGGCTGAGGAGCATTGGGGCAGACAGCAATTTTCAGATGACACGTTCTGACCAAGGGCTGCTTTTCCCAGCAGGACTTTGCCAAAACTGGAAAGAAAAAAAGCAAAACTGTCTGGGCCCCTCACTTCTGGGCTGCCAGGGCCTGTCGAGGGGGGAGTGGGGAGAGGAATCACCCTACATGTCTGGCTGTGGCCTAGCAAGCTATGGACATAGGGCTGACCCTGTGACAAGAAGTCACTTGAGTGGCGCATGTTCTCTGGGCCTGGCACTTTGAGTCAGTCTTAGCATGCCTTGCTGCTCTGTGAGGTGCAAAACTTCTAGGGCTCATTTTGCAGATGGGTCAAATGAGGCCCAGAGAGGGCAGTTGTTTGCCCAAAGTCACACACCTGGGAGGTGCTAGGTCTGGAGTCCAAATGCAGCCCAGTCTTACTGTAGAGTAAGGGGTATAGAGTCTGAGCTCCTCGGGGCTGCCATGCTGCCTAGCTTCCCCTGAGCCTGGTGCCAGTCCTCCAGGGAGGATGTCTAGGGAGGCCGATGCTTGTCAATCAGCACATTTCTTTTTCCCTTTTGCCATCTGTATTTGGTTTCGTTTTGAACTCAGGACTTCAGAAAATGAAACCAAAGCTATGTCACCATTGCTATTGGTACTGAAGAGAACCCACGTGGGTTTAGCAACTGGGGCCTGACTCACTACGGCTTTCACAACCAGGATCTCATTAGGGTGGAGGATGGGGCCAGTCCCACTGTGCAGGCAAGGAAGTTGAGACCCAGCAGGACCCGAAGCCATACAGGGTGAGACAGAGCCTCGGATGCTAAGCTCTGGAGCTCCCCAAGCTAACTAAATGAGAGGGAAGCTGGCAGACCTATCCCCACTCCTCCCCAGGCAGGCTCAGCATCCAAATGAATCTCTGATTTCTTTGGTATCTACTGTTTTTCCAGAAGACAGACCAAGACTTGAGATCACCAGGTCAGGGAGGAAGTTTACAGCACAGTGGACAAAGGCAAAAGCTCTGGGTGTGAATCTCAGCTCTGTCACATCTATGCTGTGTGCTCCTGGGCAACTGACTTCCCTTCCAAGCCTCGGTTTCTTTATCTATAAAATGGGCAGATTGTTGTGCACCAATCCAATGATCTAATGCCTTTAAAGCATGTACCATATAGTCAGCTTAAGCCAATACATCACAGGTATCAGTACGTGAAATGGAGGGGGCTCCACAGGGATGGGTGGAAGGGTAGCAGCAAGAGTGGGGTTGAGAGGAGGCCTCAGTCCCCAGGGAAAAGGGGTGGCTCTCCCAAGTAGCCAATGAGGCTGTCAATGGGGGGTGAGGGCATATGGACCATCAGCTATTTATAGATTTTCCTCTGCTCAGAGGCCTGCCAAGGAGACATGTTGGCAGGATGACAAGTTATGCAGGAGCCAGCCCAGCCTGGCCGCTTTCTTGGGCCTGCACCACCCACCCCCAGCTCAAGTGAGAAGGAGGTGATACCCCTCTCCATGGAACCCTGAGGCCTGGTTTGCCCTGTGAAACCCTCCTCCTACTCTGCCTATGCCTCTTCTGGCCTGTGCTTCTTGGGCTAAGGCTTCAGAGATGAGCATAAGGAATCAAGCCATGTATGTGTCTGCGGGCTCCAACATGCTGCCACACCCACGGGCACCCTTAGGTGAACATTAGCAACAGTAAACACCTACTGAATGCTTATTATATACCAGGGACTATTCTGAGCACCTGACTGACCCATGATCACTCATTTAAGTAAGCCCCACTGCTTTGAGGGAGGTACTATTATTATCTGTTTCACAGATGAAGAAACCATGCTCAAGGTCACAAGGCTAGAAAGTTGCAGAGGTAAAACTGGAACCCAGGCAGTCTGAGTCCATAGTCTGGCATTTAACCACTACTTTATATTATCCTTGTCACCCACCACAGGACAAGGCCCCCGGCAGGTGCTCTGGAATGACCACAGTAACTGACCACTGGTACTTGCATGGCTCTGCATCTTTTCTGTCACCCTCTGCACATGAATGCCTGCACACGTACACAACCCAAGACCACCACATCAACGACCAACACTAATTACTGCCACACACAAATTCGGGAAGCTCATGGGGTCCTAAGCAAGATTGGTTGTGGGCTTCCTCTTTGTGTTCAGGAAGAAACACAGGGGGCCTGGATTCTGCCTGGGGACACAGAGGCACGCAGGAGGACCTGGCACCAGGGCTTCAAGGAGAGGAGCTGGCTAGGCTGCCGCCTGAGAGCTGCCTGTAGAGGGCAGTGTGTGCCAGCGTGAGGCCAGCCACCATGCCCCCAGCCTGTCCTGTCTTCTATGTGACCTCTCCAAACTCTGAGACTATCCACCCACCCACCAGCTCCAAGCCTCATTTGTTCTTTCTTTCCTTCAAAAATACATGTACGAGTCAGGTATCAACCCCATGCCTTTCCACCACACAGGATCACTGGATCACACACAGATGTATAAATTATAGCCCACACCACCAACTCCCACCATCCCAAGCCCAAGGTGTGGATGCCTGGGAAGGCAGCTACTTGACGGAGCAGCCAGAGGGGGGATATATAAGAAAGAAGTGGAGGAAGAGGAGGACTGGCCAGGAAAAAACAAAGTAGGTTTTGGGAATCATCGCATCTGTAAATGAATGATTTTTTTCATTGGGCTCTTCAGCTCCTCTCCCCAAATTAAAGTGAGGAGGGCGTGCCTCCTCCGGAGGACCCCATTTGCCAGTCACTGCAAATCATAGCCCCTCCCTGAGCCTCAGTTTCTCCGTCTGGTAGGAGGACGAGCCACAGCCTTGGGGAACCTTGCCGGGCCCCGCCCGGTTTCTGAGGAACTCAGCCTGCCATCAAGCACCCCTCCTGCCCTGCTGAAGGGTTCCTCTGAAGCCTGTGGTCAGGCTGCTGCTTCCTGGGAAGCCCAAGCCAAGATCAGGCACAGCAACGGGTCGGGGGGTTGCGGGGGAGGGCGGCTGCTCTGGAACTACCGGGACAGTGGTAACATCCCAAGAGGTTCAAGGCCGGGGACCGTCTGGCCGGACCCCAGGTCGGGTGGAGGGGTCTGGTTCGAGGGAAGAAAAGGCCAGAGATCTGCTGAGATGGGTGGGTGCTGAGACACCTGGTGGGGGAAAGGGGTGTGTCAGGGCTAGGCAGGAGTATCCTACAGGGCTTGGCTGCAGAAATCTGCGACCTAGAGCAGAGGGGCAAAAGTAGGGGCGCCAGGGCCGAAGGGGACATCCGAGAAGTGGCCAGGGAGCTCAGGGGCGGGGCCAGAGACCTTGACAGAGGGGTCCTAGAAGAGGTGCAAGGCAAGGTCAGGGCAGGGGGCTTCCACGGGGAGGGTCCCCGGTGTGCGCAAAAAGGTCGAGCTGGTGTGCAAAAAAGAAACCGAAAGTGGCGCGGAAGGACTGGGCCTGCAGAGGGGGTGGAGTCGGCAAGGGGCGGTGGAGTCGGCAAGGGGCGGTGGAGTCGGCAAGGGGCGGAGCCTCCCTTTGCAAGCCCCACCCCTAAACTGGTTTTAAAGACTGGTGCAGGGGCGGGCGTGGAGCAGAGCGAGCTGCGGCCGTGGCAGCTGCACTGCTCCCGGCCCCGGAGCATGCGCGAGAGCCGCCCCGGAGCCCCCTGCCGCCCCGCCTGCGGCGCCCCGCGCCCCGCCGCCAGGTGAGCCGGACACTAGGCAAGGAAGCGGGAGGGAGAGGGGGCAAACGGAAAGAAAAGGAAAAGACAGTTGGGTATCAGTCCAGCCTAAGCGGGCTGCGTGGTGGGGTCGCGACTGCCACTTCCCTGGCTCTCGCCGACCCCACCCTGGCAGCCCCCCGCGCGTGAGGTTCCCGCAGCGCAGCTTTTCTCCTGCCTTTGCCCAAATCGCCCGGACGAGGCGCCATTCCCCGGCCTGGCCAGCAGGCGGCGGCCTTGGGGCGGCGAGCCGAGGGCCGGGTGGCCGGAGTAGGGGCAGGCTTCTCCTTGACACCTCTCCACGCCCCGCTCCTTACCCAAACTCTTGGCTTCCCAGAGGCTGGACTCCGCCCCCGCCGGGCCCCCACCTCCTGGAAGTGCTCTGTAGAGGAGGAAGCCAAGCCATTTTCTCGATAAGCCCACTGAAGTTCAAAGGGGCCCGCGCTGACTTGGTCCTATGCCTTCTGCCCTTAAGGGTTATCGGCTCAGCCTTAAGCCCCACACCTGCCCAGCTCCACCCAGACTCCGCTCACTGCCTCTGTCTCCCCCATCAGCGCACCCCCGGACGCTATGGCCCACCCCTCCGGCAGGCCCCTCGTGTAGGATGGTAGCACACAACCAGGTGGCAGCCGACAATGCAATCTCCACGGCAGCAGAGCCCCGACGGCGGCCAGAGCCTTCCTCCTCCTCCTCCTCCTCTCCCGCGGCCCCGGCGCGCCCGAGGCCCTGTCCCGCGGTCGCGGTCCCGGTCCCGGCCCCGACCCCGGGCGACACGCACTTCCGCACGTTCCGATCGCACGCCGAGTACCGGCGCATCACCCGCGCCAGCGCGCTCCTCGACGCCTGCGGCTTCTACTGGGGACCCCTGAGCGTGCACGGGGCGCACGAGCGGCTGCGCGCCGAGCCCGTGGGCACCTTCCTGGTGCGCGACAGCCGCCAGCGGAACTGCTTCTTCGCCCTCAGCGTGAAGATGGCCTCGGGCCCCACGAGCATCCGCGTGCACTTCCAAGCCGGCCGCTTCCACCTGGACGGTAGCCGCGAGAGCTTCGACTGCCTCTTTGAGCTGCTCGAGCACTACGTGGCGGCGCCGCGCCGTATGCTGGGGGCCCCGCTGCGCCAGCGCCGCGTGCGGCCGCTGCAGGAGCTGTGTCGCCAGCGCATCGTGGCCACGGTGGGCCGCGAGAACCTGGCGCGCATCCCCCTCAATCCCGTTCTGCGCGACTACTTAAGCTCCTTCCCCTTTCAGATTTGACCAGCCGCGGAGGCAGCATTAACTGGGGCGCCTTTTTTTTTTATTTTTTTTTATTAATTATTATTTACCTGGAACGACGTGGGCGCCCTCCCTGCCTGGGTTGGAGGGAGCCGATGTGGGGGGTGAGGCACCTCCCCTCTCGGCTGGAGACGAGGCTGTAGACCCCTTCCCACCTCTTGGGGGCGTGCCCCCCTCTTGGTGCTCCCTCTGGGTCCCCCTGGTTGTAGTAGCAGCTTAACTTAACTATCTGGGGCCAGGACCTGAACTTGTACCTCCTACCTCTTCATGTTTACATATACCCAGTATCTTTGCACAAACCAGGGGTTGGGGGAGGGTCTCTGGCTTTATTTTTCTGCTGTGCAGAATCCTATTTTATATTTTTTACAACCAGTTTAGGTAATAAACTTTATTATGAAAGTTTTTTTTTTTAAAAGAAAAAAGGTTTCTAGAGTGTGTGCTTTGGTCAGAAGTTTTCCTTGGTTCTGAACGGGTCCCAGGGAGAGAGACCCCAAGACTGACCTCTTTGGAGGCGTGCGTGTCTGTGGCTAAGAGCACTGCTTGGTCCCCCCACTGCTCAGGAGAGAGGAACCGTGGGTCTAGTTTTGGTGATGTGTGTTTGGACAAAATGGCAGCTCATGTTTGAGCACTTAATGTATACCTGGCCCTATTCAGAGCTTTTCGTGCTTCAATTTACTTAATCCAATAGAGACAATCCTATGAAGCAAGGCTCTTACCCTCATTTTACAGAAGAGAAAACAAGTGCAGGGGTAAATCTGCCTGTGGTCATTCCTGTGTCAAAGAAGACACCTGGGCCTTTTGGCTGTCCCCAGAATCTATTTGAAATGGATGACTGAGGAAATTTCATTCTGTGACCACACTTGAAGGTGGAAGTGGAAGGAGGAGTGGCACATTCTGAAACTCAGCATCGAAGGAGACATATTTTAGATGGGATGGGGGATACAGGGTTGGGCCTGACTTCCTTCCAACCTTGTTCTATCTTGTGTACTTCTTGGTGAACATACGACTTGGAGTCAGAAAGAAGCTCTGTGGTCTATGGTGGCAGGAGGGCCCTGCTGGTGGCTTTGGGCAATTCCCTTTCCCTCTTGGGGCCTCAGCGTGGACCTCTAAAATGGGTTTGCTAGAGGAGGTGGTTGCTGGAACCCTTAGCAGCAGAAGTCTATGCATCACAGAGAAGGTGGTGGTTACAGCAGCCACAAGAGGGAAAGGTTGCTCTGGGATGCTGGTGAGACTGGTCCATATCACCAGAAAGTCCTCACAACACAGGTTTTATGCTCACTTCTGTGTCTGTGGCCGCCTGGCAGATAAGCCATGCTGGCAACTCAGGGCTGTACTACCGTACCCGATGAATTGAGTCATTTTCAGGTTTAGGGTTAAACAGACATTGCAGTTCATTTTTAGAAGTTAGAATGGCCCTCTGCAGCCTTGGACATGCTTATAATGGAGTGTCCTAATACTTAATAATACCTTTCAGACTCGAAAGTGCAGCATAAAATTAACTTGAGAGCTGGAGCTGCCCAGGCTTGTCTTAGGGATTAAATAGGTTCCAGGCCTCAAGGTGAAGGATGGCCAGGAGAGATTTAGGATCTCAGAGAGCTTCAGCAATTTCGTCCTTTAATAAGGGGTGGGAGGGAAGGAAGTGATGTCTCTGCCTCCAAAGAATCACTGTTTTTTCTTCTGTTAACCATCTCCCTGCCCTTTGCTCTCTGCTGTGTGGATCAAGTCCTGTCATCCAAGTCCTGTCCTTGTTATGATTGTCTTTGTTATGATTTTCCCCGTCTCCTACCCAGCTTGGGCAGTGCCTGGTGAAACAGGGAGAAATCCAAGAAGGTAGTGCTTGGGCATACCGCAGACACACAGTGAGCGCTTACATGTGTGCAGGGTGCCCTATGCTACCTTTAATCATCACCGGATGGGGGTGATGATTAAAGGTAGCATAGGGCCCCCTGCACACATGTAAGCACTCACTGTGTGTCTGCAGTATGCCCTTAGAAACCTCTCTCTCCATTTTAGGTGGGAAGACTGATGATCAGCGATGCACAGTAGGGCACGCTGCAAGTGGAGGAGCCAGATTTTCAAACTTAGATTGTACTGTCTCAGAGGCTGGGCACCACTAGGTACCATGACCACCCACAAGGGCCTAATGGACCCAAGGTCCCAATAATAACAATAGCGGTTGTTAGCATTTACGTCTAGCATTACAGTGCAGGCACCATCCCAAGCCCCGAGCTACCTATATTAAAACATTCAACCTTCACCCTAGCCTTATGATTTAGGTACTATTAACATCCCCATTTTATAGATGAGGAAACGGGTCCTCATCTAAAGGGATGAATTAGACAGTCAACAACATTTTCAGAGTTTTTTCCTCCTTTAAAAAAAAAGTTTAAAAACCACATCTTCATTAGACAAACTCATTTCTCTTATAAAGCCTGGAGCAAAACAGCTAAGAATAAAGACCTCTTTAATCACACTCCCCAGAGCTGGCCCCTTCTCTTTATAAGTCATTTTTTAAAAGTCTATACTAACATATAGTGGCTTAAAATGATCGAAAGCCCCCAGGGAGCTGTGCTCCAGGCCCCATGTGACAGATCCTGTGCATGTCCCAGTGCAGAGGAGAAGGGCTGGGCCGGGTAGTGTGTGCCATGTGGCTTCCCCAGCGGTGCGGATTCTCTCTCAAACCTCAGCTTCATGATTCAGCAGCGCTGACGTCAACTTACGAGAATGAAAAGTTAGAGGAGGGTTTGTGGCGGGGGACTGGATTGGGGGCCCTAGTACCACAGAGGTACCCTCCCACTGGGAGTGAATTCCCTGGGCAGCATGGGGCATACAGAATGGGAAAGGGGCAGCTCTTTAGCACAATGGGGACTGTATGCAGGTGTGGGAACAGTGTTCAACCCGCATTGAAGCCACCCCTGAGTTGGGGACTCCGATCCCCATTTTAGAGATGTGGAAATGGAAGTGCAGAGAAGTATAGTCATTCAGGGTCACAGCTCAAAAGTGATAGCCACGACCCGCACCAAGTCCATCTCACTCTAAAGGCAACTGGTTTCGTAAAGAATGAGGGAAGAGGGTAGAATCATGGAAAAATGAAATATTGCTAGGTCTCACCTCAGCCTGCTTGATCCTCCCAAGCTTCTGAGTAGAACTGTTATTGTCCCAGAGCCAGGAAGTGGAGCACTAAGCCTCTTCATGAGGTGATGCACGGAAAGCACTTAGCATACAATCTGGCAATACATCTCTGAATGATGCAGTGCTCAATAAATGAGAGCTGAGTCCATATAACACTCATTCACTGGGCACCTACTGTGTTCCAGGTGTTAACCTTAAGCCCAAAGGATACAGGAATGAACCAAATTGAGAGAGTCTGATCCATGCTCTCATGGAATTTACATTCAGGGCTTCAGACAGTAAATAACTAAACATGAAACTAAAGAAATAAGAACATTCCAAGTAGTGACAGTGCTCAGATGAAGACAACAAGGTGGTTGGACTGGGGGTGGGGTGGGGTATTTTAGAAAAAAAGATAAGGAAAGCTCCTCTAAGAGGACACTGAAATTGTGCCTGGAATGACAAGATAGAGCCAGCCTGGGAGGCCAGCATTCCAGGCAGAAAAACAGCAAGTGCATAGGCCGTTAGTTGGTATGAATTCGGAAGGCTGGCCAAGCTGGAGGGGATCCAGTGAAGGCAAGTGCCAGGAGATGAGGTAGAATGGGTGGGCAATAGGCAGGGGCCATAGCCCTGTAGGCTACCGTGAGGAATGTGGATTTGAAGTGTGATAGGGAGCATGAGGGTGACCTGATCTAATCTGTGTTGTGACCAGATCCTCTGACTGCTGGGTAGAGATCAACTAAGGTAGGGAGGACTGGTGAGGTGGCATTAGGCTTCTTCTCTTATTATTTGTGTATTTGGGGATGGCGTGGAATGGGGTGGGGGCAGCTCATTCTTGGCCAGACCCCTCAGCTCCAACTAGTCAGACCAATAGCAAGGCAGGGACAGCCACAGGAATGCTGAGATCTGGCCAAATGCTGGAACTGGGCGTGGGCCAGGCCTGAAGTGACCAGCCCTGGGGCCAGCATCAGTCAGAAACCTCAAGTATGACCAGATTCTGAGCCTGGGTCTGAGTAGAGCCCCGGGGCATGGCCCCCCAGACTCAAGAGGCTTCTTGGAGCAGTGTTCATCTGTGCAGGGCAGAGCTGGCCTCAACTTTGGGGAAGGATGCGCTGGACCTGAAAGGAAGTCTGGGCTGACACAGGGTGAGTGTGGCCAGTGCTACTATGGATGCTTGCTTTGCATCCCCCCTCACCTGGGCAGCTCTCTCACCTGGCCTCCATCAGCATCATTCAGAGACTCTCTAGGGCTCCAGGATTCCAGGAAATAACAGCAGGGTTGGCCTGACTCTAAGGAGGGTCTCAAGGTCCCTCAGAGAGGGGAGTGTAGTTTTCAACAAATTCACACAGGTGCCCACGGTGGGTGCTCAAACTGCTCCGGCCTAACCCGGTCCTGGCCGTGGAACCTGACAGACAACCTCTGGGAAACCTGGGTCCACGCTCTACACTGACAGACCCCAGTACGACCCCCTACCATTCCCCGCCACACACCCAGCGTGAGATCGGCGTCGCCAAGCACCAGCCCTCCAGTGACTCCCCGCGGCGCCTGGCGAAGGCCCGCCTCCCACGAGGACCCGCGAGGCCTTGCAGGCCTTGCACGCGCGTCTGGCCTCAACAGCACTCACCGCGCTCCCGTCTGCTACTAGGCCTTTTCACGTGTCATCCTCTCGTCGCCTCGGGTGTCGTGGGCGGTGTTTCCCAGCCTGTTTGGCAGTAAAGGCTTGTACAAAATTGCCTTCGCCGGTGCCCGAGGGCTCCGCCGGGCTCCCGCGCTCCAGGGCCCCGCGCGCCGCGCGCTGATGACGTCACGGCGCCACCCTCAACGTCAGCCGCCGCCGAGCCCACCCGACGCGAACTTGGCATCGGTCGGCTCTGTTCGGCCGCACTTGGCCTGCCGCATGGTCTCTCCGAGCTCCCCGGCCCCGCTCGCTTCTGTGTGGTTCTAACACCGGCCTGGACGAGCTGCCCGGGGGTCATCCGCGGGCTCTCCGGGTGCTGAGAAGACCCGGAGGCCCAGAGAGCGCATGTCCTAAGCGCATGCCAAGTTAAGGTCATAATAGCGTGTCTTCCGCCACCCCCTGTAGTTCTCAGAGACCTAAAAGCACTTCTACCCCATCCCAGTCCACAGGGACCCCTGCCCACCCCAGCCTTAGGTCCCGAACCCTTCTGTCCTTACCTGGACATGAGATTAATAACTGTACCCACCCCATGGGTGAAATTAAGTAAAAGGGTGCCTCTAAAGATATCCCAAAAGTAGGACTGGCTCTGTTTCTTGACTCTTGCATTGCTGCTGTTGTAAAATAACGCCCCTTACTGAGCACCTCATGGGTGCTAATAATTCACGCAAGTTACTTCTTGAGGAGACAGGCTCAGAAAGGTGAAGGAATCGCCCCCATGCATGTGTAAATGGCCAAGCCAGAGTTTGGCTCCAGGTACTTGATGCCTAAGCTCATGATCTTACCCACTACGAAGCTCAAAGGTTCACAGGTTTATGCTTCATTTCTGACACTTAGGACCACTTTGGAGGATGTTCAGAACCAACCAGGGCTCAGAGCATCTCACTCGCCTGCCCCTTCTTCACAGCACAGGTTGGGAAGCCAGGAGAGGCAGTGGGCTGATGGGCTGGTAACTCCACGAATGCCCGCATCAGAATTCAGCCTAGGACACTGGCCAGGGCTACTTAATTAGAAGGGATCCTGAGAAGTGGTCCTGCGGCAGTCCTGGCAGCTGGCGAGGTGTGTGTGTG